CGTTCTAGTTGAAATGGTATAACCCAAGAGGCAAAATGACGCTTGCTACTGTTGTTGCGAGTTGCCATTCATTCTACTAAACGATTAGTCAAACGCCATCATGTCTTCTGTCGTTATCACACAAACCAAAATCTCTTTACTCTTACTCGTGTTAGTGCCTCAATACGGCTACGCTCGTGAAAGCAATACAACGAACTGAAACGTGTCTTCGTTCAATGTTGTCAACTAATATCCGGATTAATTTTATGCAAATTTTCCTCAATTCTCCGGAGAAATTTTCATAAAAATTTGAAAAACCCGGAATTCTGGGAAAATCCGGAGGACTTTCATCTCTGTATACTGTACTGGAATAAGTGACGGATAATTCCAAAGTCTAAATGGTTATGTAACCATTGCCAATACCGTAATTGAATATGATGTCTTTCCTAATCATTTTATTGGAAACAAAAGACAGACACTTATGCCCCCCGCCCCCCCCCATGCCCCTTTCAAAACAAAAATAAGCATTTTGCAGCCACCTGCATGGCAAGAAGAGAAGGCGCCAGCTACACTGAAGGTAGCAAAAGGTGACTTGATGAAGTCTTGAACTCACCTGCTTGAAGGATTGGTTAGTGAGCAGGTCCTGCCCAGGCAGCCGGAGAGCGCAGAGACACAAAACACATGCAAAGATTAGCACTTGAAGCAGAGACACAGTGTTAGCTTTAGAGCAGAGAACTACAACTGCGCACATGACAAGCGCAAGCTGAGAAGCCCGCTCGGAGCAAAAAAGTATACAGTCTACCGCTAAGTCAAATGGGTATTCTTTTTGTTTTTCTTAATAAATTCATGGTTGTTACTACGTAGTCTTGATTGAATCATCAAACGCCTGCCTTGACACGGAAAACACAGAAACATGTCAAATGAGTGTAGCGCGTGAAATAAATCAACATGGGGTCCATGTCAGGCTTGTGAAGTCAACCACGCCAACATTGGTCTGATTCAATGGAACCAAAATATCCTAACAATTGGTTTTTATACGGCTATACCCCAAATGAATTTATCTTGAACTATAATAGTTGGAGCCGGTTACAATAAAATGCTCTGTATGAATGAATGCAAACATAATACATCACTGTCACCCATTTCCAATGACTGATGAACCTTGAAAACAAGTCTGCACATGCGGGCAGGCTGTCAAAAGAACATTTAAGCATTGCAGCAGTGAGGGAAATGGAGGTTGTTTAATTTTCATGAAGATATTAAAAGCAAATCTTCAAAAAAAAATTCTAATTTTTTAAAAAAAATTCAAAAATTCTGCCTTTACCATTATTGTAATCCTCACTTTTTCAATGAAAGCCAATACATATGATCATAGATTTTCTTTATTATTTTTGGTTACCTTAATGTCCTACACGAGAGTGTAAAACATGCCTGAGTCGTGCAATGCAGGTTTACCTCACTACAATGAACATTATTAGCCGAATACCTTTCTAATAATAATATCAAGGCTGATCCAAGAACCCGGAACGATCCAGACAGCTCTGTTGTGCTCCCACAAATGGGCTAAAGTTCCACAATTGCGCTTTCTCTGCTACAACTCTACATCGTGTCTTTCAGCTGAGCCCTTGGCAGTGTCACACAAGTTAAACAATCAAGCTGAATTAGCACCATGAATGGAACTTGACAGGCTCATAATAAAAAAATTACTCTGTCTCTGTGTACTGCATGCTATCACTGTACAACATGAACACGCACACGTGTCATTCACATGCATTTCATTCGGCTGGGTTTAAAATACGAACCTGCTGTCTCTGATAGGCAGAAAACATCTTCTCTATGTCCTTGAGGTCAAGGATCTTGAAAGCTTTCAGGTCATCAATATCGTTCCAGATCGTGCCATTGATCATATGCTAATGAAGACAAACACGTGAGGGTCCATTAGTGTTTGCCACAATTTCTCATGTCCTTGTTTTGTTATGGTTAATACCACTAACTGGTGAAGTAAAACACAGAATCATGACAAAATAAAAGGACAACAAGACACCTGACATTATTCTAAAAATAGATACAGATGTTGCCAGTCATGTCTCACCTCTCCTAGTTTAGCCCAGTTGAAAGATTTCAGCGGATGCGAGGGCTGAGGGATGGACTTAGAGCGCAGCGTGCTTGCCGAATTGAAAGAAGATGGAATAGGGGGAGGCGGGATTCCAAAAATGGGAGGGGCTCCTGGTGGAGGAGGTGGGCCGCCGGGTGGAGGAGGTGGCGGTGGTGGAGGTGGGCAGCTGAAGGGCGGCGGAGGTGGAGGTGGAGGAAAGCCACCTGTCACTGGTGGTGGAGGTGGAGCCATGGGAGCCCCTGGAGGAGGGGGAGGTGGCCGTGGGAAAGAACCGTTGCCCACCTGTGGGAGATGTGGAAAAAAGGAGGAGTCATTTGTGTGACATTATTCTATGCACTACTAGGAAGCGATGGGAACTCAACACATTTAACTCATTCAATGCCAGCCGTTTCTGTCAAATTGGGAGAGCCACCAGCCATTTTTGACCATTTTGACAAATTTTTGAAGGCCTACAGAAGACAGAAGTTCTCTAGCTATATAAACACGGAACCTACCAAAAGAAAGCTTTAACCCTCTTTTTTCATCAGGAAAAACGTATATTTCTACCTTTTACTATTCTTTAGTAAGCAGTTGAACATTGGTAAGTTTCTTGAAAAAGAGATTGTTGTGAAAAGATACATTTCAAGTAGAACTTTCACTTTGATGCTATTTTTTCACATTAGCGATACCTCAAATATCGAAACAATGCTTTCCTACGAAATAACATAACACAAAAAAGGTAATTTGATTGCAAAATAACTGTTTAAGCGCAAGATAAACACTCCACTGATGCACGAAGTTTTCATGAACGTTGAACTTTGTGTGCGCGTGTTCGTCAAAGATGACAATAGGACTTTGTAATCTTTTTTTGATTTGAAAAAGCTCTGTGGTAGACTTAGCCGCTGGTATTTATCCATGTTCTCACTGGTGGCGTAGCTTCTGCACACCACGAAAGATTGCCGTACCATACCCTACAACACCCACTCACACTATATGTGACCAAGAACTAATCAAAGCCACTCCTGCTATCAAGTGGTGATTTATCAAACTGAAAGCATTCCCACAGCCTCGATACTGACTGAGGAGGTGTGCGAAGCCCTTTGTTGATATTTTTTTAATTAAAAAAAAAAACGTTCTTGTACGTTTTGGCACGTATTTTTACATTTTGACATTAAATGAGTCAAGGTCTTTAAATTAGCATTTGTGAATGCTAATCAAATAAATTATAGTGTCTCACTTTTTCTGTTCACGCTGTAATGTTGACATAACCAACCACAGTGATATGGTAAAGCCACATTTCCATCAAGTTCAGTTCAATTTGGTCCACTAATACAGGGGTCCCCAACCGCCGGTCCGCGTCAAGCCACGCTTCTCCGTCACGTGACCGATTCCGCTTAAAAACAAAACACCAGAGCTCGCAAAATGAGTAAAAAAACTGCTGGAGATCGCAAATGACGGCGACCTTAAAAGCACGTTCGAGACAACTGGATTAAAGTTGTGGCTGAATACTCTGAGATCGCCACAATAGCACTGTTGCTATTTTCGACATCCTACCTGTGTGAGGCGGGGGTTCTGCAGCAACGGCGACGAAAACAAAATTACGAAGTAGACTGGACATAAACCACACACTTGAGGTGTCATTGTCTCCTATTACCCCGAGATGGGACCGTCTGGTTGCAGAAAATCAAGCTCGGTGCTGTGGTGAGTCGTCATTTTCATGCACTTTGAATTTGTGTTGTATCGTATTTTGAAGGCATTAAACATTGCCATAGCGATTGGAGTGTTGCGGCCAGATTAGACGCTCCTTGTGTTTATTATTATATTTCGAAAACGTTACAGTTTTCATGCGGCTCATACCATATTATTGTTGTATTATTTCCGCCACACCTTAAATGCCGGTCCCTGAAAATATTGTCTGACATAAACCGGTCCGTGGGGCAAAAAAGGTTGGGGGCCCCTGCACTAATAGACCAACTGTGATCAGACTTAAATTTCCCCCAGAGGGCAGACAGGCGGGACTGCAACACAACCCCCGCATATTCGCAGCTCAGGTTTTGCAAATCTGCAAAGTTCTGATGGGGAACCTATCCTCTGTCACTTGGCCCAGAACCTATCCTCTGTCACTTGGCCCAATCATGTCCAAAATAAAAATATTGCTGTGGCACCATCATTTCAGATTCATCTAATATGAGGAGAGGAGCTTTATTTTGTCAGGCCATAGCCTCGTCTAACGGAAATAAAAGTGCCATATCATGGCATCAATAGGCAATTACAAACCTTTGGGGTGGGTGTTAATTATGGCTGTTTTCTATTTTCTAACACTGGAGCTATGTCACTTGTGCAATGGCATGACATCAGACTGTGTAACTCACCAATGAATTGAACAACGAGAAACATGACATACTGACCTAAACAATTGACGCAATTATATTGTCATCGGTGTTACCTTTTTACTTTTTTTTCTTACTGATTCATTCTTCTCTAATACCAACATTAGATTTCTGTCGATCAATCAAAAGAAAGTGTGCTTTCCTCCATGCTACCCAGAGTTCCGTAGCAGGGCTAAAACTGCGGTGAGGTCAAGCAGAACTGTCTCGCTTGAAGGAAATGCGGCTGCGGGCTGACAAAGAGCCGAATGCCTGATGCCTAAAATAATTTTCCTTCAAGTATAAAAAGTAGGACTTCATACCGAAATACAGTCATTGATGCGTGTTGATAGATCCAGGACTTGTTCCCTGGCTGAGCGCAGCTCAACACCCTCTCGCTGGAGTTTATCCTTCATCTTGTTCAGAGTCTTCATCATGTCCTCTTTTTCCTGGGTCTTGGTTTCACACTCTCGCTCCTTCCTCTCCAGTTTGCCAAGCAGCTCGGCATGATCTGAAGAGAGAAGGAGAACAAACCAAGTTACAAAATACAACGACACAACTGATAAAACATCATCATACGCGCTCTCTTACCTTTTCGGAACTTCTCGGCCTGGTCTCTCCACTGTTTCACCTCATTCTCATTGACCAGCCTATGCAGACAGAAGACCACAATGAGGAACGATGCAATGATGCAGAAAAATGGACTGTCAGTAGAATAGGGAGTCAAACGCAGTCAAACTGAGCAAAGCCTGGACATTTGTTACTTGGATGTATGTCACGCCCGACATGCTTACTGATGAACACTCATTTTGTATGCGATGGAATTCATTTATTTGCCCAGCTTTGACTCAGTTGCTGCAGGCCGCACTGCCCAGTAGATTAGAGTTAAACCATGGGGAGTTTGAATCAGTTGAAGTCAATACTTTATGTTTTGGTTATTTTTGTTGAAAATTAGTAAATTAGAAAATTTAAAATAATAAAGCAATCTGGGAAAACTGCATGGGCGGGGTTGTTGAAAATTAGTAAATTAGAAAATTTAAAATAAAGCAATCTGGGAAAACTGCATGGGCGGGATATGTTTATGGAGGTAGAAATGGGGAGGAATAAAAAAGGATATACATGTATAAAAGAGAAGCAAAAAGTTGATAAGTGTTTATAAAGGTACAACTATTTGAGGGGAAAAAGACTTGAGTAAAACCTTGAGTATCGAGAGGAGCCTTGGCTGGAGTTGAGAGAATAAAAACTGTCACTGACAGAATGGAAACAGTTCAACCTACAGATTGCCAGAAATGCTGGTCATTCCAAACAAATATGATGTGAGCATACCATATAATGATTTATAAAAGTTCAAAAGTAAATTCGAGAGCAAAGTTTCGTGCTTGCTTTACTGGCACCTTTTGGTTGGTGTGTTTCACGGATTCGCTTATTTTTTTTCTTTGGGTCTTTCGTTTCGAGGATCCAACACCCCCCCAAGACAAATACTTCATTGTTGAACACTTTTCCACAGCAGTGGGAAAGCGGCAACAGTCCACATGTTGAGGTGTGGGTCACATGTCGTCATGGTGAATGACTCTACATTGCTGTTATAGTTGATTTAACCTCTCCAACCTCCCTCTCTCCCCCTAAAAGCCACATATGCACAAGACACGTTTTCACCCATCAACTACGGGGGGCCTGTGGAACGCTGCCAACCTCATGTGGAAATCTTCATTCATGATTCATTTTTCCAGGTATAATTCACTTCAAGAACGTTAATGGAAACACAACAAGATTTTGGCAGGAGGGATTCGCCTCCCGGTGATGGATCCGCTAAGGTCTTTAATGAAAGGCTGAGCTTAGATGCTGCATCCAAGTTTGCTGTCTGGGCGCTACTGGAAAGAATTACGCTCAAGTGTTGTAATAGAACAAAAATAGTGACTGAATGAATGTACAGTGGTAGAAGCAGATGGGCCAAGGTCTACACCACTTCATGTTTTATGCTTCTTTCACTGCCGAGAGACTACACACACACACACATCATTGATCGTCAATAACAGAAATAACCGGACTGTTGATTTTATTCTAAATGCTGTAGGTCCATTGTGGTACTTATGTGAGCTGCTTATATTCCATTCATAATCCAATTTACATGTTACAGAACCTGATCCAAGAAGGGAGTCAAGTCCATATCACAGCTCTTTGTCATACTTATCCATTGTGAACTTGAGAATATTTAAAATGCGAAATGTACGGTAAATACTGGTTCTCCTCAAGACTCGGAGGAGTTACTTCTCTTATTCAGCTCCGCACCTTAACATGACAAGTCGTAAGTACTGCCACAGCAAAATTCATCGGCACCGTCTCTAATGCATTGCCCGAATCAGCGTGATCTTTAGCTGTTTATGTAAGTGTCGTCAGGAAGGGTAAAACAAACCACGTTGAGTGTATGAATAATGTTCTGTGATCTGTCAGTGGCCAGTAGTTCCCATGAAGACTAAATGTAAACATCCTAAGTGCATGAACAAAACCACTGACATGAAGCCAAGTGGCTGCGCAGGCCGCACCTAAACATGGCTCACTTGGCTGGCCTGCCTGACTAATACGATTAGAGTAATTTCCTTTTGATCTCAGGTTTCCTCTTTCGTGCCAATTCAGGCACGGTGCGCCGCTTCCACAGATTTCAACCAGGAGCCCCTTGCTGCCACCTTCACTTTGCCTCTTCCTTCCTGACGAACTACATTCTCTGCCTCTTTGAAAGGATTGCCTGGCATGTACAAATAATATGAGAAGTGGTACTGTATATGTATATGCTGCTATGACGATAACACTACAGTACTGTATTTACAGGACTATATTTCACTTACATGCGAATTATGTTTTTAACATTGAAGTTGTCCAAAGGTGAAAGGTCGGGGTCCTCCCCTTTGTCATCCTGCAAGACTATCTGCTGGAGGATCCTGTCGAGGAGCTGCCAGTGATGCATGCTGCTACCGCCACGCTTATCTGTATGTGGAAGTTGCAGTACAATGGCAAAATGTTTCATTTCAAACCACCTTAACCATTTGGAGAAGAATGATCAGAGCAATAACATTTTTGATTTGGGATGATAACTGATATGATATGGCAGTAAGCTGAAGTCAGATGTCTTTTTTTTTTTTTTTTTTTGTGTATTTTGCAATAATGTTTAGCTCCAGAACGCATGGACTGCACAATTTTGTCTGTGACTTATTATGTGTCTGTTTTCGAGTTTTATTAAGCAACTGTTAATGGTAACTGTCTATCAATATCTTATCCCAATTTGTCAAACTGACTTACTACACGAGTATAACATGTAGCAACTCACATGGCATCTGCAGGCAGTGCTGCAGGATGGAGAGGAGGTGTGGGTAGGCGTCCGAGTGGCTCAGCTTCTTTTTGACCAGCTCAAACATGGCACCGGCACTTTTGGTGTCAACGTGGGTCTGTTGAGAATAATAACTCTTGCATTATTGTCAAATCATCACAATCTGACATCAACCCTGCATTACTTACCATGTCAAACCGTTTGGCCAATTCAGAGTCATCCTCATTGCGTACCATTTCAAAAAAATCCAAATGCCTGAAAAAAAAAAGAAAAATAAATACGACAACGTGAGAATTACACCAGCTTCATCTTGTGCCATTATGTTCCTGGTATACCGCCTTTTGCCTAGCTTGATTGTCCCTCACCGATCTAGAGTGGCATTTTCATGCTCTCGAAGCTTGTCAATCACTGGTTGGATGCCCAACATCAAGAATTCGTATCTCAGGTGGAGGCGGAACTCGAGGTTGTCCTGGAGATAAAAGAGCAGAAGGCGGAATGCTAATCTTAACATCAATTCATGAGATTCAGATTGGGCTTGCAATGAAAGGGTATATCCAAGTTAGCTGTTGAGACTGTGTGACGCTCACACATTTTGCTCGATTAACACATTTTTATGTACAAAGCATATGGTTAACATGATGTGTCAACAAACTGGGCACACTGCATTAAAAAAAACACCCCCAAAACCCCAAAAACAAAACAAAACAAAAAAAAACCGCACTTCATTGAAAACTTAGGATCTTCTCGAGATCAATTCAAATGGATTCTTGAACTTGTACACATCTTTAAAGAAAAAAAGGAGGTTTTTGACTGCAACTATGCAGGAAGGTATTTGCCTAAAATTGGGATTTGCAGTGAACATGCTGTGCAACCACCACCTTGGATGAATGCGAAAACAGCCCCCAGGTTGTCAAACTCTGCTCATACATCACTCTGGCCGCACGGCTCGAGAGTTAAGCAACAATAAGCAAATCACATTTTTGAGTGGCGAGGGGAGCGCATTTCAGGGAGATTAATGACAGTGCCAAAAGACGACATACATCAAATTGTCATTGATTTCAAAATTACGTATGTGCACTCCAGATGGGATCAGGGTACAATCCAACATCCACAAAAGTGATGTCATGAAAAAAAGGTAGGCAACAGCTCAAAAATGTTTCAACATCTAATTCAGGGCTAATTTTTTTGCACTGGTGCGCCCAGCATTTTTTTCTGGGTTGCACCAGAAATAAAGTCAGGTGGTCCAAAATTTTCAACAGCATCACATTCAACATGACAGTTTTACACTTTAAATAATATTAAAGGGAAAAACAACTCTATTTTACGTTATATTGGCTCATAAATGAATAACAATCTGGTCCACACAAGTCCTCGACCTCAGATTTTTTTTCAGTTGCACCACTGTAAAATTAGGGTGCCTGGTCATCCTAATTTGGTGCAACCTGTCTGTCCAAATTTTAACTTATTCCTTTTTTTGTTTTTGGATTGTTTCCAAATATTGAAACAATGTAACTGTTTAACAGAGTTTGGTCTAGTATGTCGAGTATGTGCTGGAGCTGACCTCTCCTGCTCCAGCATTGAGCACAGCATTGATAAAGGACATAATAGCAGTCTTCAAGTTGACTTCGTCTCTGTAGCGTCCCGTACTCCTGTCCAGCTCATTCAGCAGCGTCTACAAACACAGGGGAGAGTTTGTTGGTCATGTTGTTTTAAGTACCGGTAATAAAGAACAAATGGTAAAAAGAGTCACAAGCAGCGTCTACAAACACAGGGGAGAGTTTGTTGGTAATGTTGTTTAAGTACCGGTAATAAAGAACAAACGGTAAAAAGAGTCACTTACATGATAGATAGCTTCATAAATCACATTCAAGTCATTGTACAGTGGCGGGATCAGATAACGCAGGAGGTTACTAACCCTTTGCATAGTCCTAAACTAACAACTAGACAAACTTCTGAGGAGTGTTCGCAACATGGAACAAAATCACAAGTCTTCATCAAGGGTGAATCACCCATTCCTCTGGTGTGAACTTAGTCCAAGGTGCCACAAATTCACACACACCCAGCGGGAATGAGTAAAATGTGGTTTGTTGACTCAGTCCTGATAGACACTGATGCACGACGTATTCATGACCTCCATAATTGTTGATGTCCTCACCCAGCTTTGTTATGTTCTCAAAGTGTGCTGATTTAGCCTGGGGTCAAAACATCTGGAAAGATGTCAGCACTCATCAAAATGATCTCAGCTTGATTTGTTTGTGGATGACTTTGTCTAGTCTCTCACATGAATACTGACACCCCCAGGCTCAAAGAAGACACCAGTATGTGTGAACCAAAAGACAACTAAAGAGTATGAAACATTTGTGTGGGTTTGCCTCACCTGAAAACGAGTCCTCTCTGCGGCGTATTTTTGGTAGTGAGCCATGGCCTGCAAAACTTTCTTGTGTCCGTCAGGGACTAGACACACTGCCCCAAGAATCTCCAAAACGGCCACTTTGGTCTTTACATTCTCCGTTCGCAGGCTCTGCGAGATGGTGTTGATGCTCTGCGGGTGAGCGAGCACGTGTGCTCGACCCTGAGAATTGTTCATGAGAGCCTTGATGCAGCCGATGACAGAGGTGTGGACGCGGCTCTCCGAGGTCTCGTAATCCATGCTGCGAAGGAAGTTGAGGAGGCAAGTGAGGCCATCCAGCTCAATGAAGCGCGTCACAAACCTGAAAAGGGCGAAGACAAAAATTTACTGGCCTAGCATCTTGCTGTACAAAAGCTTGCAATGATTTCAAACACATTAAGCACAATCTATAGTCATTTATTTTTAGTACAAAACCAAGGAATAATCGTAATTAAAGACCTTGACTAAAATAATGAATGCATGTATGACAAATAGAGCTAAGGTGTAAAATGCTCCCCTGCGGTCTGTACAATCATAAAGTGACATTAAACCAGGGACACTAAATACTTAAGATCACTGCTGGCTTTTACATACAGTAATAGGCTCCGTTCCTACTGTACATCCAAGTTTAAATAAATGAATAGACTCTGTGGCACATTGTTTGCAAGCACTATATGTAACACTCAGACTGTTGCGGGTTGGGTTTTGTTTCTGTGACATCTTCATGCCAAGGCAATACAATGGTATTTCTGCTTTTCTTTTTAATATTTACAAGGTGTGATTTAGGCACACCAGGGGAAGTTGATTCTGAAGCTTGGCCTAAAAGGCACACACATAAGAGATTAAAAAAAAAAAAAAAAAAACTTCATTAGTTCCTTGAGGGTAACTTCCATTTTATAGTGAGAAATGAATGGCCATTTACCCAAGCGGCATCCAATCAACATTCTTTGTTAAATAGTCTGATGGCTGCACATGAATGAATCCATCCTTCTGAGAATCATCTTGAAACCCAGAGATTTATTTGTACTGTATTTGGATTTAAAGATTAAGACACAGTAGCACATCAATTAATCGCGATTATCAAATGATATCATTCGATACAGTTAACTAGAGCTGAACACTCTTTTAATGTGGCCACTTTACATTCCAAGTATCTTAAGAGGCATGCCTCATTAGCTGCTCGAAATAGAAGAGCAGCCAGCTATTAACATCAAGCTGACAAGCTGAATGACAGACAGGATGGGTAAACATGGGGTGAAACCAGTCGGCAAACAAACGCACTTCCTACACTGTCAGATTTCTGATGTGCATGATGAATAATTTCAGACAACAGGCTTGCACGAGGGTTAGAAAGAGGACCAGCACTGGAAAGGGGAAAAAGTCGAGGAGGAGGATTCGAGATGCATTATTTTGACACATTAGAAGGAACACAGACAAACCCCTTCAACATTTGGACAAAACCACTCAAAACATTTCCTCAAATTCATATCGCACTGAAACTTGACGCCAAGTGTTCTTTTACTTAAAAACAATCGGTTCCAGATTTCCAGCAAAAGCACACACTTTATCTGGCATGACCAACAATTTCTTCAAAGAAATAAAACAATTTGACAATGCATTTGGCTCACACAATCATCAGCAAACAAAGTGCTTCTTGTCTTCCCCCCCGGGTGTCTCCATCGATAACTAAATGCAGCACAGTTGACATGGTATGGCAAGCCACAAGGTGGAACGCATTCTTCACCTTCTTCCAGTGCACCAGTGACAAGTGAAGCCAGAGAAGATGCCAAATACTGTAACAGCCATATTCCTGTCCAAGATTTGTAAGACCACCTCAGAGAAAAGATCCTTCACGCTGGTGAAAAACTGAAGCTGAGCAGCCGCGAAAAGAACTTATGGTGAGTAGAGGATGATGCTGTTCTTGGAAGTTCGAAAAAGGTGAAAGCCTTGCAGTCGGGCTTTTCTCTGTGCGGTAAGAAATGTGTATGTGCACATGCAACTCGAGATCCTGTGGAGCTTAACACATAAACATACTTAATGGGCTGTTAAATGACATGAGCAATCCATTCAATTGTTATAACATTGTAGAGCAGAGATGCTCTCATCTCGCCCTTCCTCTCCAGTTAGTAGCAGCCAACCTTCTCTGACTTTGGAGTATCCTTTTGACAGCTTACCATTTACGCTCCAGTGGCTTACGGACCAATCGTTGTCTCCTCTTTTGAGGGAGCAACCGCTTATTTACTTTACGTTAACTGTTTTGGAAAGCGCTTTGTTACAGCTGCAGCTGTTGTGAAAGCGCTATATAAATCAGGATGTGTTGTGTTGTGCATACGTGAAACCCCTTCAGGATTGTTTTCCATTCAAAGAAGCAAGTGCTGCATACGATATGCATTCAAGCAGCGCTAAACACTACTGGGGGGGTGAAACCAATGATGCACACACGCATGGATGCACTTACACACACTTTTCACAAGAAAGAAAAAAAAAAAGGAGCGTAACGTAACTTGGAATGTAATGACACAAACCAAAAATGGCAGAGGTGCACACGAGTTGATGTTGAGGCAGGGCTCATGACAGGCAAAGATAACGTTATATGAGGCAGCATTTAAGATTATCTCTAGGAAATAATCATAGAGCAATAAAAAGGATCAGTTCGAATTCCAGTGAATGAAGAATCCTTTATCTAAAACTAATTTGGATTCCAGCCGACAACTTTTATCTAGACCGACCTATGCCTAGTACTGAATTGAAAGGTTTGTTCCATAGCCCCTGAAAGGTAATATAAAAATCAACCATGTTCATTGGAATACAGTAACTGGAAAAATGCCAAAAGTAAAAATTTAAATAGATTAATAACTCAGAAAAAAAGTAATCTGCACATACACATTTCTTACCGCATTTGTTTTTTAAAAAACAAAAAAAAAAACCTAATGAAATTTGCGGGTGGCTCGGTAATCAACTGGTTAGCGTGTCGGCCTCACAATGCAGAGGTGCAGGGTTCGATTCCGGCTCTGGCCTTCCTGTATAGAGTTTGCATGTTCTCCCAGTACCTGCGTGGGTTTTCTCCGGCTCCTCCGGTTTCCTTCCGCATTCCAAAAACATTCGTGGCAGGTTAATGGAACACCCTAAATTGTCCCTAGGTGTGAGTGTGAGTGGTGATGGTTGTTCGTCTATGTGTGCCATGCGATTGGCTGGCATCCAGTTTCGGGTGATCCCTGCCTACTGTCCGAAGACAGCTGGGATAGGCTCCAGCACGCCCCGCGACCCGTGTGAGGATAAGCGGATCAGAAAATGGATAGATGGATCATGAAATTTGCCTCTGCAAAAAACGGTTACATGAGTAACCTTTTGAGCTCATCATTACGATTTCTGCAACACCCAATGAGACTTGTCAACGAGCATTTCGACCCACTTCAGCTGTCTCAGGCTTGAAGGCGGTCTTCCACAGATGTTCAAGAGTATTTAAATGACGCCTCGTAAAAGGTCACTTTGCCCATTCTTGAGTGTTTTAGCTGTTTGTTTTGAGTCATTGATCCTGCTGCAGGATTTTTTCACTGTGGGCTGCACATTTGACTAAGAATGCCGTGATTTTCATTTCCTGTATTGGTTTCCGAAAAACCCTGTGCCAGATGCAGCAAAACAGCCCCAGAACATAACCAAGTCTCATCCATGTTTTTGTCCAGGCCTGATTAATTACTTTGTGCATATTAGCCACATAGCCTTGGTTGTCACTTGAACTGCTCCCTGTAGATTTATATATAAATAGCGCAAGCACGCACGACAAGTGTTTAATTCTCATAACAGTTCACATTAACATGCCTTAACTTCCAATGCGTAAATCATACGACGTCAACTTGTGCGAAGAATGTACAAACAGCATGTGCTTATCATAACAGGAAATGCCGCTGTGGACAGATATAATCCACAATATGTCACAATCAACATGGTGGTAGGTTTATTTATTTTAAGTGAGAGAAGATGAAGTGTTGGTTGAGAAGCGTTGCTTTACTTAATCAAGCGACATACACTAACTGACTGATGTACATAGTTGACAATAACATACTTTGCCACGGTACTCAGAAGATTTTCAAAATTAGAGAGAGTTGCTATGACCTAAGTGGTACAAGTGTCTGCAAAAAACCCCATAAAAACAACAAACATTAAGCAAAGGTTTCTGTGGGAGGTTAATGTGTGGAATTGAACTGAAAAGGTTAAACTAGCACTAATTTCACATTCAAATTTGAAAATATGAAAGTGAGAAAAATGGCTGACACGTGCTGGACTTTCCTGATCCTCTGTTGAATTATTTTCTCTTTCCAATCATAACTTTTCTTTCCTAATAAAAACGTTTTCATGGAAATGAACATCAGACCAGATGTAGACCATTCATTTGGTCGAGATCGAGATGTATTTCTTGATTTTAGGCACAGCACAGCACAAAGGATACAGTATAGTGAACATTTTTGCATGCTGTCCACTCTAAAATGTATCCGGCATGATGATGAGATTGAACAGACAACAAGGCTGACATGCTTGCATCCAGCTGTTGAGTTTTGAAGAGGAGTTTGCTAGCAATGTCACTTCTGTCCTCGCCACTTGGCTCGCTCTATGCCCACCATGTGTTTTTGCTCGGCGACCAAGTAAAAAGAGGTCTAAGGGCACAGAAGAGCCTTGTCATGTCACATAGCAGCTGCCTCTCTGAAAGGGCAGAGGGAAGGAGGGACTACAGCCAATACCGGCAGTGATCCAACACAGCCACGAATGAAAAGAGTTCACAGACAGAAGGACATACTGCCATGAAAGTGTGACACACAGATGAGTTCTGTCACATTTGACACAAATAATCCTTTCAAACGGTGTCAGAGACAACATCGAGGGTATACATTTTTGAAAGTGAAAAACCCCTAGGGATCAATAAACTTCTGATTCATACAAACACTGTAGCAGAGCCTTCATTACCTTTTATCATGCAGTTGTCATCAAACTAGCGAAGAGTTTCCCTGAACACTCATTCTCTGGAACCCAACAGCTACCCACCACACGGCTGAGAATAAAATGGCGGGGACTTAATGAGTAATGAGTCGTAAGCGCAATTATGAGTAATGGAGGCTCACGACATCATTAAGGTTCAACAAGGTTAGTTAAATGAAACAATAAAAAATTGGGGAAAGCTTTTCCGGTATCTTACAAAATATACTACTAAAAAGAATTAATATTTAAAAAAAATTATAAGTATTACTTTTGTCATAATTTGGCTGTTTCGGCAATTTATACTCAATTGTTACTTGCGTAAATTAAAATTAGAGGTCCAACTGGCACCAAAGATCTTTGTTCCCTAATTGTATTGATATATGCAAATGAGTTCCGGTTGGAATCAAAAAGTTGCAATTCTAATTACGGAATCATTTTTCTTTTTAATTTAAAATGGCTTCCCGAAACAAGAATCCCACATCAAATTGTGGGCAAAGATGGAATCTTGGTCAGTTATTGCTCTTTTTGGTGCTGTGAATAGTGACGGATGCCTAATGCCAAACTACATATATGTCACACATTGATTGACATAACTACTTCTACTTCCACCTTTTCGTTATCTTTTCGATCTTTTTTTTCTTTTTCTTCCATTTCTATCTTTGGCAGTTGGTGCATTTGCAAGGCACAATAGCTGACCATGATTCTACCTTTCAGTCCCAATGCAATGCAGGATTCAAGTTAAGGTTAAGTCATTATAAAGCAAAAAGAAAAACTTATCCGTGAATAGGAACAGACGTTTCGAATACAACCGGAACTCATACATGGCCATCAATGCAATTAGGGGACAAGGATAGTTGGTGCCAGTCCAAGCTCTACTGTTCTTGGTCTCAGTTTTTGGTCAAATAAATTTCCCCCCAAAATACGTCAGAGTGATATACATGGTTTTCTTCTTCGCGATATAGTCAAACCTCGGTTTTCGAATGTCTCTGTTATCGACCAAATCGGATTTCGACCAGAAAATTCGAGATTTTCATGCCTCGGATTACGACCGAAAACCGTTTTTCGACCAAGCTGAGCAAACCCGAATACGCCACTTGACTCCTCTCGGCTTCCTTAAACGAGGAAGTGACGCTTCCTCGTGTAACGTTCATTGTGAGCAGATGTGTTTGTTGTGATTCACGCAAATTTGACTGTTTTTTTGTTATTTCTGCATAGCGTTATCAGCCCCTAATCATCGGCTAATAAAATAGCTGCGGATTTCGAACAAATCGCTTTTTGAACAGCCTTCTGGAACGGATTATGCTCGAAAACCGAGGTATGACTGAATATATTTTTTAGTGGTGCTAATTTTAAGCCTGAGCAATCTATTGTCCAAAAAAACAGTATCTACAAATGAGTTCTCATCAAATGTTGGGCGTGGTCATGGAGTTAAACATACTATTACACCCGACCATGCGACTGATTGGTTATCAGTCCAGGCTGTAGCCTACCTCTTGCCCCAAGTTCAATGGAAATTGCTACAACACACTCACAACACTATAGGAATTTGATCAATGGATTTGTCTTTTATTTCAATTTAGGATTGAGATTTTTTTTGTCCCACACCAATGAAGGACAGTCTACTATCCATTCTGCATATTCTTTGGTTGACAAGGACATTTTTGTTTAGACAGGGGTTGTACAGACTAGTCGATAGCCCACTTCACTACTCCACAATTCCATGAAGAGTTTGATGTCCATGAGTTGCTAATCACATTTTTGTCCTGCATGGGGAGGAGGCGGGGCACGCTTGCAGGAAAATGGATGAGTGTGCCGAATGAAGTTAGTCAGACACTTTAATCGGTTTAATTTGTGAGGCGGAGGGGGGGGGGGTCTCCTGAATGTACAGCAAGGATAAGTGAGGGGGAAACAAAGTGGATTTTGAACAACTGTTTGGCCCAGACAATCACAGTGGAAGAGGAATTTGATCCCACACGAAGACGCTGACGCATATTACCACCACGCAGAACAGGTTTCCTCATGTATCCAAAATATTAACTGGCTGTCCCAAAGACGAGCATAAACAGAAAGAATGTTTTTCTCTGGCTGAAACTACCATCAGGTGACAGTAGGCTAGTCCTCACCAAGACAACGTCCATGATCTTGCATTATAATCTGTCTGTTGCGTAAAAATAAAGAGCTTAGTTGCTGAATATTGTTGATGTACTGTTCTGAGTAAAATCTGGATATGCACCATCCATTATCTGTGAAAATAGATTATTGCAAAGGATTTCATTCTCCTGTAATTTTTGTAACAGCGGGGAAAACAAAATAAATTAAGCATGTCAGAATTTGTCAATGTCCACTCAACTTTCATTCCATTAGAGTCGACTTGATGAGAATAAAGTCAACTTCATTTTGTAAATATTCTTTCCTCGTAAGAATATGAATATTGTGAAAATTGATTTAATTTGCATTAAGATCTGTTCTGTTTGGTTAAGCACTTGGCCGATGACCACCACATACATATACCACATACATGCCATATACAACCCAGACATGACCCAGACACAGAGTCGGCTATGAGTATTTATCACTCTACACATGAGGTTTGTCACAACATGGCTCCTTTACAGAAGAAAACACACACACACACACACACACACACACACACACACACACACACACACACACACACACACACACACACACACAGCTTGGTTCCAGACCAATGCATCATTCAACTGGCACAAGTTGAAAGACAGCAATTGAGCAGCTGCTGATAGGGAAAGAAAAGCAGTTTGTATGATTGAATGGTTTAGTCTTCCCAATCTCTAACTGCGGCCAAACAGCTGCTGGGGACAGATCATTACAATGACCTAAGTAATACATTTCATCAGTCTAATTTCAAAACATATTAACAGGCAATAGAATAATAATCCTGTTGAACATTTGACATCCCATTTTGAACCAAATCAATGCATTAAAATGGACCCTCGCTATTCACGGTGGATCGCGGTCCTCAAATAATTGACCCTCATTATAACTGCATTGAAAAAACACATTGTGTCTTCATTTTCCACGAACGTCAGGAGTCCCCCCCACCCCCACAAAAATTATTTAAAAATACTGAGGAAAAAAAATCTTCCAAATCCACGGGTGTCAAACCATGAATATGTGGGAGTCAATTGTACATACGGAGGTTAAGCTGTATCAATTATCTTAAAGAAGTCACGTTTGTGTTTATAGGAGAGAATTTGCTCACAGGTTACCTCATTGGCTGAGTTCGAAGTGCTGTCTTCAGATCTTCCACCACCTTGTTTCTCATTTCCATTTCCTCCTCATCAAAGGCAAACAGGGTCTGCATCTGGTGAGAAAATGGAAAATAAGCTAATTAAGATCGAGTGAATCATTTAGAATTTGGGTTTATTTGAAGCACAAATAAACAGTGTCTCTTTTTAGCAAGATGTTTTATACCAGAAATCCACCAGCCTTCCCTGAAGGGTTTGTATCATGCAACATCAACTTTTTGAACTTTTAGCCATGTTCAAATAATAATCCCTCACCAATAACACCCCCATAGAGGTGTTTTCCTCCATTCATGCATCTCTGAGCATTCCTACTTATTCCTGCTCTCTAAGCTATAGCTTCCTCCAATCTAAAAAAAACAATTGGGTCCTCAGTTTTACATGTATAAAATTGAGGGAGCGACCCTCAGACCATTTCTGCAGACTAAACACGAAAACTTTTTCGATCAGCCAGCAGGATGCCCGAAAAGCATATGTGGGAAAGAGGTGCTATGAGCGGCCACCTCGGCCGAAGCACCGGCATCACCGGTTGGAGCTCCGCTGCTCTGAAATTCTGCTCTTAAAGTCCACTTCTGTGCGCTCGCCCGCACGTGTGTCCGATGAAGGTGCACTCCGAATGGCCTCCCTGGTTGAAGTGCCCGCCTCACGGGCTGGAGCCGCGCGGGACGGCCGAAAAGTGTTTTGAGAAAAGACCCGGCCGAGGTGCCGCCCTCCCAGGCAACTTTATTACGATTTACTGTTTCAATGGTTGTGCGGGCAGCAGCCACGGCTTTAGGACAATGTCACGAAAGGGGCATGGTGACCACATGGGTTTTAGTTTGCCAGGCGTCTTACTTCCAGGTAAGAAAAATAGCCCCCAAAAATAACTCAGATCTCATAATAAATTAGATCGCCACTGTGGCAAAGGTAATATATAATCATATGTACGCCATACCAGTAGTCGAGTGGTTAGCACGTCGACAGTGCAGAGGTACCGGGTTCAATTCCAACTCCGGCCTTCCTGTGTGGAGTTTGCATGTTCTCCCCGTGCCTGCGTGGGTTTTCTCCGGGTCCTCCGGTTTCCTCCCACATTCCAAAAACATGCATAGCAGGCTGATTGAACACTCCAAACTGTCCCTAGGTGTGAGTGTGAGCGCGGATGGTCCTTCTCTGTGTGCCCTGCGATTGGCTGGCAACCGGTTCAGGGTGTCCCCTGCCTACTGCCCGAAGAGAGCTGGGATAGGCTCCAGCACCGCCCCCCGCGACACTAATGAGGATACAGCGGTTTGGAAAATGAATGAATGAATGAATGTACACCATATGTTTGTGTTTTTGGTGTCGGCCCACACCACACGTAGGTGAGCTCACCAGTACAGGTGTGGCTGATTGGAACTGGAAAGCAAACAGTCTTTGACATTGAGCCATACAAAGTAAGACAGTGCTATGTCGCGTTTTTATTTTTGGAAATAAACGGATTGCATTATATTCTGGAGTCGTCGTCATCAGATTCATGAGTCTACGATCATGTCAACTGGTCCAACAGATGCGGTGTCTTTTTTGATAGGTAAATGCGGAAAGCTTAAAATCGCGTGATGAAGGGCTTCTAAGGTTATCCTGTTTTGCTTAAAGAAACTCTAGAATTCCACTGTTAATAGTTGAAATCAACACGGCAGAAAATAGCATTAAAAAACCTGTCCTTGTCCTGTGTTAGTGTCAATAAATTTCAACATAACATCATGGCTGCATGCATTATCATCAAAGTGCTCCTCTGTTGACATCCAACAGGACCACAAGGTCTTTTGTTTAATCTGTGGTCTTTTTTCATTTGAAGCTTTATGCCAAATGTGAGGGTTCAAGAGCGTGTTTTAGCAGTAAGCAGGTCACAGTTGCTTCCTATTAATTGACTGAGGAGATATTTATTTAAAACACGGCTCCACTTTCTTAAACAGAACCTTTTAGCAGGACATGTCGATGTGAGGTCGGTGTAAATATTCCACGGGAAGAAAGGACATGTGTCAAGTCATTCATTTACAGTAGCTGCCCAGCTAAAAGGAACCTCCACATGTTTGACTACTTCTTGTCTGTCCAATGTGTGAATGTTTAATCGAGAAACAGCTCAGTCCAAACAACCATTGTGTCGTCTTAGCCCTACGTCCAGATGGTTGAAACACTCTCTGCCAAGAAACTGTGGCAATTAATACTTTGTGAGTCAAGTTAGACACACACATGTTGGGGAGACGAACTGTATACTAAGTTCACCGTTTGCAAGAGTCTTTTACATGAGCCAAACATTTCTACATCTGTTATTTGTAAGCGCATTATAACCTGGGTCCACTATGCACATGTGGGGATATTATTCTTAAAAATAGTTACTACAAGAGCAAAGGGTATTCCACCTGAATGAGTATTTGTGAAAATAAGCCCCTTTGAGCCAGAAAGATGCCCTGAAGCATTGATCCTTCATTAAATGAGTGAGCAATGAGTACAATCATTCCTAATTGGAACCATATATGTGCAGAAAATATGTTTACAAAGTCTGTAGACTCCCAGTACAGTATACAGTTTAAAACTGAAGGCAAATGGAAGTCTTGGTTGAAGAAGGAGCCCGTTGGCCATCAACTCCACATTTGTGGTTTTGAAGAGAAAAAAAAAAAATTCAAAGAGGGGCCATGGACATTTTTAGGTAAAGTTTAATCAGGTTTCCCTTTAATGCGAGAGTGGCAGCTTCAAGTCTTTTATTTATTCATTTATTTGAACAGATTGGTTTCTCAGAGCAACGATAGGGAATCCCACTATATAGCATTGTGATTGTGCTTGTCTTTCAGTACACGAGTACAGACCAAAACACTTTAGTTCTGGTTCATCTAGTATTCACAAAGGCATTTATTTCTGGACCAAAAATTACCCATTAAAACGATACATAATGCATCGCCTGTCTGGCCAACATTTGTTACATACTGGATTAAATACACTTGCTTTTATAACTCTAACCCTTAGGGTAAAATATGTAGTTCAGTACCATGTGCTGATATTTAAACGTGAGACATTTTTGATTTCCGTGTACTTTCTGCTGTCATTGTAACACTAGTTTTGTCTGCACAGCCTGTGACGGTTCATTTGGCATTCATACTTTACTATATTTTAACTGAAACAAGACTGAAGAAAATGAGGTTCATAGCATATTTCAATATACAGTATACTGTATGGATACTTCTAGACATAAATAATTACATGTTGAGTAATCTGTAACAAGAATAGACTCTCATGGTCTTCGACCAAGTGGGAGATCTGATGCTAAATGTACGAACTTGGACGCAACAGAACCCCTTGCCAGAGTTACCACAAGTACATTTGAAATGTCACTAAGATGCCGGAAAAGGATTTCAGGTATGTGATTAAGACATGATTTTATAAATAAACACCAAGACATTGGGTTATTTAGTAATCATGCTGGACTTTAAAGCAAAAATGAGCTCATCCACTAACTCGGCTACTGTGGAACGAGCGTCCTCCCTGGTGAGCTCTAATGGGAGCCAAGACATGAAGTCATTGTCAAACAAATCAACTCTGAATTATTTCAACATTTTCGTTAAGAAGCTGCAAGGAGGACTGTGGAGGAGGAAATAACGAGAGTGAGTAAAAAAATAGATTGCGGAAGGTGGAAATGGCGCCAAGCGACGATGAGTGAGTTGAGACTTCTTGTTTAAAATAAGTGTGGAGAATTTGACTGTCCTCACGACCATTTTTAATATAATACAGTGATGATGTCAGTTTTACATGAATGAACCATGAACTATGTATTATGATTCACTTCAATCTGCCAACGGGTGGCAGATATCTATCCATCTATCTATCGACCCACCATATTTTCAGGACCATAAGGTGCACTTAAAAGTCTTACAATTTCTACAAAATGGACAGGGCGCCTAATAATGCGCGTCGTCTTGTGTATGCACGAGTTGTGTGAATGCTGTTGTATGACTTCATTGAGGGGTTTGGTCCGCTTGACTGACTGATGTTGTGCCGACGCTGCTTATAGAGGGGAAAGGTGGACGTAACTGAGGACAGCATGCGGACGTTAAAGTGGGAAGGGTGGGCGTGAAAGAGGACGCTAAAGTCACGCAATCAGGAGATGTATATTAGTATCAAGTACTGTACGTGCATTGTGCAAAACAGCATCCTGAAAACGGCACCTATGTAGAAACATGCTGACCAAGCACAGTTTAATTAAAATGCAACAACACGAAGGACCATGGGAATCGAGCACCCTCGAGAGAATTCAAGATAACTAATCCATGGCGTTTGGTGCTTTTGTATCATGAAATGGCGGCAGCTATCCTTACGGGTAAGAACGACCGTGGCGCAGCAACATTCGGCGGATATTAAGGAAAAGCTGGCTGTCTTCTGCTCCTACTGCAGTAAAAAGTGAAATGTTATGCTTTATATTAAATAAAGACGCTTTGTTGGAGAACTTAATCCTTTATTCTACCACTCTGAAGGCCTCATTTGGTTTCAATTACCGACTATTCTCTCAACCAATCCTCACATCCCTAGCTTCTTGCTGCTTGGGGAACGGCAACTGATGAGGGACAAGCATACTTTCAATGTTGAAATACAGTACAACAAAATGCTGCTTTCACAACAGATACACACACAATATACACACATACCTGTACATATACTGTACATGCAGATATATTTGTATAAATCATATTTGTTTTGGTGTTTTACGCTCACTTATTCATCCTTAAAATGATCCTTGAAGTGTTTTATGATCTCAAAACATTTTTGTAGGTCACTCAATCCACATGGTTTCCATCTGATGGGTCCATGGTGCACACTGGTCAGTGTCTTAATGTACAATGAGACACAACATCTATCGCAGCAGTTGTGCTTAAAATAACACAGAGAGCATAGCTGACTACTTGTTTTCACTGACACCCCCCCCCCCCCCCCCCCCACAACCCCCCAAAAACCCC